TTTTACTCGTGTTGAAGTCTCATCTCACCACATTTTACTTATTTAAGTTTTTTAGATTTGATCCGGAACTGAAATCAGTCCGAAAAATATCTTATGTAGAATATTGTTTAAACAAACATAATCTTAGAGCATCTCCAATGGGATAGTGGATTGGAGTAAAGTCTATCCTACGTGGCATAGGAGAGAGATAGAGATAGAATGATTATTTTAATTTAATATGGAGAAAGTGGTGTGTATGAAAAATGGAAAGGAAGAGAAAGATAGGAGTAAATTGTAGACAATGTGTATGACAATGTCCACAAATAGACTTTACACGGGAATCGAGGAGTAAAAATGGATGAAAAGTGGGTTAAAAGTGATATAAAAAAATGAAAAACAAAATAAATGTGGAGATATGTAGGTCCTACACATAAAATTTGTGAGATAAAAAATGGGACCCGTGTGTAAGAATGTGGAAGAGAGTAAACATCCCATTGGAGATGCTCTTAGAACAAGTGAAAAAGGAAAAGTAATACCGAGTAAATGTAATTTAGGGCACAGGAAGTATTCATTTTTTCGAATTTTAAAGTATTATTCCCACATTGTCCTTTTTTATACGTAGTATATTCGTATGTTTTTAATTTCTAAAAGCAAAGAAAAAATTTGAGCTGTTAACCCAGTCTTAACGAGGGTGGACTGTGAAGAGATGGAAGACGAGGAGCACGAGGTGTATGGAGGAGAAATCCCCGTCGAAGGTGAATTGGAAGGAGACGTAGAGTCTCACGGGGCCGATGTTGACATGTCCACCGCCGATGACGACGCCGTTAAGGTCCTATCTCATACTTTCGATGATCTCTTTCAATTTCTTTAGTTTACCTGTTTGATGATAAACCTATGGGTAGAATGCCTGATGGTACGGAATTGCAGGAGTTGGATGAGATGAAGAAGCGACTGAAGGAGATGGAAGAAGAAGCTGCTGCGCTTAGAGAAATGCAGGCCAAAGTTGAGAAGGAGATGGGCGCCGTTCAAGGTAGAACATGGTTTAATTTAATCAACATTAGGGTTTGAAGACCCCCCCCCATTCACGTGTATTGTATATCAAATAATGTTTGGACTCCTTTTTCAAATTAAGTTTTTTTGTTTGTTTTGTTATGAATTTGATTATTATTGGGTTTAAGCATGACACAGTGGAAAGATATACTAGGCATTAAAGAAGGCACAATAAAAATCCGGAGTGACTCGTTAGTCTAGATCATGTTCGAAGTAATAGCTAGTGCTTGAAAGACTTGGTTTTTACTGGATTGCTGGTGATTTTTTACTCCCTCAGATGGGCTTGTCCTTTTCTTTTCCTTAGATGAACGGATAATCTTTTTTACGTAGTATTTGTTGGAAGAATTATGCTTGCTACTATGTGAAATGTGCCATGCTCTATGTTTCTGTTAGTTTTTCTTTTTTTCAGTATATGGGTAATGAAAGAAGTCAAATAATACATCACTTCTAGAACAATTTCATCTCAACAATTCAAATGAATGATGTAATTGCAAATGGAAAGAAGAAATGAAGAATCAGTATGATGTCCTTTGTGCTAAAGTTTTAGTGTGCGTGCATACACACATGGGGCTATTGTTTTACTATTTTCATGTTTTTATGATTTTTCTTGTCTGATTATATCAATATAGTTTATGCTTTTTTTCTGTCTTTTGCATTTGCATTTCTTGTTTTGGGTAGATCCTGCTAGCGATCCAGCTTCTCTGGCAAACAAGGAGGAACTTGATTCACGATCAATATTCGTTGGCAATGTGAGTTGTAGGATGCTGTTTTTATACTTAAATTACTTTTTTAAAACGTTGAAGTTTGTGTCAATATAGTGTGATTTAATTGTTCTAAATGGTTTGACTATAAATTCTTGCAAAATGCATGCGTGGTGGCAAAGTTGTAAGTCGGTTTCAATTCTTGTTGCAACCTTCTAATGATGGAATAATGAGATGAAATTTCTTAAAAGTCATCATACCATTTTCAGTTTTTAACCATTAAGGGGAATATCAGAAGAGACCAAAGGGATCCCCATTTTTTGAAATACAGAAATGGGGAGACTCGGAAAGCAGCCTGCCTTAGTGATTGAGCTCCAAGAACAGGAAAAGTGACCAATTTGTGTAATATCTTTACTTAAATTTATACAAGTGACAGTAACTGTTACTTATTTGTGTAGCATATGCAATTAATACTAATTTTCACTTACCCTTCAAGAAGGATGAAGTTTGCATGTGCTTTTCTGGTTACTTTTGCCTGATACATCTTTTTGTTATTTAGAAACTTTTCTTCTCTGCACTAACACAGACTTGACTCGATTTTGACTTGGCTTCTTCAGAGTCATGGTTTTCTATTCTATCCCGCTATGATCAGTGTGATGCTACTGAGTAGCCTGGGTTTTATTACCCTGTGTTTGAACATAAGTAGATAACGGTTTTTAGTAGGCTTGATAAGAATACGACATTTGTAAGTGTATGTTTATGTTTAGTCCTGAGAAAATTTCTGATCCTAAGAGAAAAAGGAATTAAGGGAAAATGAGATTTAGAAAAATAAAATTATCATGAGGTCTGCATGCAAGCCTTCAAGAGAGAGAAAAAAGACAGGTGCTGTAATGAAAAAAATTATTAAAAGTTTAGTAAGAGAAGCCATAATTAGTGGCATCCACTGAAAGAATCTGAAACCTTGTTCCTCGGGGAAGAGTGTAAAATGTAAATGTTCATTGACCTTAATTTCTTAACTGGTAATTCTTATACGGTCTTTAAGGTGGATTATGCATGCACCCCGGAGGAAGTTCAACAACATTTCCAAGCATGTGGTACGGTGAACCGCGTCACTATTTTGACAGACAAGTTTGGTCAGCCAAAGGGCTTTGCATATGTGGAATTCCTTGAACAAGAGGCTGTTCAGGAGGCAATCAAGCTGACTGAATCTGAACTCCATGGGCGACAGTTGAAGGTATAAACATTCTGTTCCCAGCTCCTCTTTTGCATGGAGATAGAATCTTTAAAGGGGTTTAATTAATAATTATAATACCAACACAAACTGCATCCGCACAAAAAGCATCTCGAAATGCTTTATGTTGTTGAGTTGCTACCCTTGGCTTCCTATTGGCTCTACTCTAATTGCTGAACTTTGCAGGTTATGCCAAAGAGGACAAATGTTCCTGGGATGAAACAGTTTCGTGGAAGGCGTTTCAACCCTTACATGGCATATGGTTTTCGGAGGCCTTATGTGCCTCCCTACTTCTATTCCCCCTATGGATATGGGTAATTTTCAACTTACTACTTTAATTTTAATACTTTTATGGATCAGAGATATGAAGATCATTCTTGTACTTTTGCACTCAATGCAGGAAGGTGCCAAGGTTTAGGCGACCAATGCGATACATGCCTTACTATTAAAGTGCAATTGCCAATTTGCCAATTTGCCATTGAGTATGACAAAACCGAGCCCTTCAGTATGATTGTATGAAGAAGCAAATTGTTGAAGGATAAATAACCCCAGATTCGCCTCTTGATGACCCCTTGAAAAACTTTTTCTTTGTTATTAGCTTCTTCCTTGGCATGGATGTGAGAATGCTGTAAAAGCCATTATCCATTCACTACTGCTAAAGATTTCTTATTATGTCTGGTCTCATCTGATTAATCACTGATGTTTTAGTGCTGAAAGTTTGTCCTTCTAAGTTCTAACTGGTAGAGTGTTAGTATGGACATTGTTTTTAAGGTTTTGTGATTTATAACTTCCATTAATGAAGTTCATTTTTAACTTGTTTTTATCAAACATATATCCTTTCCAAATAGCTGACAAGTGAGATAAGCGTAGAATTTTGTGTTACAGAAAAAGCTTGAACAATATTATTGTGTTCACATGAATTTATTATCAGTAGTAAAAGAGAACTACCATTTTTTGGCCTCAATAATGCGGCCACATGAATCTCAATTTTTTTTTGTCTCTACGTTTAGGACTTTAGGTCACGTTCGGTAGTTATTGAAGCAGAGTGAAAAGCAAAGAGTGGAGGGATAAAGTGGAAAGAAATAGTTTCCCCTATTCGGCATTTTGGCATTAGAGAAAGTAGGAAGGGAAATGTGAAGAAACGGGACGATCATAAACCACATAGGAGAAAAAGGTTGCACTCCTTCAACTGCTTCAAAAAAATTTGTCTTGGTCAAAGCCTAAATATAGTCTAGCTTTTTAACGCTCGAAAAAAACTAGTTGTTCATGTCTCATAGTCTGTAAGCATGTAAGTTTTGTCTGTGAATAGCCTGTTAACAAACAATTCACATACAAAAAATAACTTGTTCACAAATGCGTATATACAAATATGTGTGTATAATAAGTAGGGTTGTTATTTGTTAATACTCATCATTCTTTAGAACTACCGTGGAAGGTCGAGTTAGGGGTGGATATGTGAAATTGGTCTTAAAAACGAATAATAAAAAATCAAATTGCAATAAAAATAAGTTGAACTACAAATAGTCGAAAAGCAAACCACAAAAACAAAATTGAACTCTGGTTGTTCTATTTTGATTTTGGTTTTCAACACTTAAAATTGAACAAAGTAGACCAAACCGTCACAAACATGTTGTTTTGTGTATCTTCATTGGCCCTTAATTATAATCTATTTGAAACATAATTCACAAGTTTAGCTAATAATGTCAAACCAAGCATTCATGGTCTGTTTTTAGATGACTCTTTGGAGTGTGGTCTCTCAGCTTCACTAATAAATCAATTTGGAGGATTTATTTTAGTCATTTCTCAATGCTACCAAAGAAAATCAAAGAGTACAATAGTATTTTTAACACAATTTAACTATCTATTTCTACTCTACAATTTTTAAATCAAAGAATATCAAGTGTTATTTGTATTCAAAAAAGCTATTTGTACTCACTCTTATACCCCATTTTATACCCATCATGAAATTTACATGTTTGCAAAGATAAAATAATATTTTCTTTGTCTGCGAATTAGATTCGTAGACAAAAAACGTTCACAAAAGTGGTAGGTACTGGGTATAAATAAAGGGGAAATAAGGATGGTACATAAACCAGCTGATTTCTGTTCTCCACCCAACCAAATGATCACCGACAACGGAGCAAACCGTTGAACCCATTGCAATTTCCGTCCACTTCTCTTCCAGTCTGCCCCTAGTTCCTTACAAAATCCCCACTCCGGTCATGTTTCCGATGACCCGATCCGTCCCGTCAAACCCCAAATCCTGTAGCCTGTAGGGCCTCTATCTTCTTTTTGCAGCATCCATAGCTGTTTCTGCAACAACAATGTCGCAAAACCTCATCACAGCCTCCAACTCTCATTGTCGGGTTGGAAGCTTTAGCCTCTACCCGCAAACTCGTTTGGAAAAATCCAGAGGAATCTCCCTTTCCCTCAAACCCTTTACCCTGCGGGTCCAACCTCCCAGAACCCATTTTCCCAATTTGGAATTTCTTAAGACCCGCCAAAGGTACGTCGTTAGGGCATTCGAATTGGAAGCAACCGAGAAACCTGTGCCCGACAAAAGATTCGATTTTGATGCTTTCTTATCAGTTCTTGAATTCCTGTGCTTGGCCTCCTCGGCGGCTGCGTCAATTGCAGTTGCGGTGAATTCTTGGGTTTTCCGGCAGCATAACTGGGTCGGGTTCCCGTTTCTGGTAGGACAGTGTGCGGTGCTGGCTGGTGGAATGCTAATCAGCGCCTTAATTAGGAGGCGGCAGTGGCGGAGGATTTGTAACGTTGACTTTTCAAAGTCCAGCAAGGGTTCAGATGGGTTTAATCTTGTAGAGAGGATTGAGAAGCTGGAAGAAGATTCCCGGAGCTCCATGAAGATAATTCGGGTGTTATCAAGGCAGCTCGAGAAGCTAGGGACTCGTTTTCGGATTAAAATGAGGAGTTTGAAGGATCCTATTATGGAGGTAATTATTCTTATTAATTTATTCTACAATGATACCGAGTAGTTGATAATAATGTATCTGCTAATCCATTGCCCACATCATGATTTGCAGACAGCTGCATTGGCCCAGAAGAACTCTGAGGCTACAAGAGCATTGGCAGTGCAAGGGGAAACTCTTGAGAAGGAGTTTGTTGAAATACAAAACATCCTACTGGCAATGCAAGTATGAATATCTCCCTGTCTCAGATACCAATTTTCATTTTTTGTAAGGGATAATCAACATAACAAGCTTATTTTTTTTTTTAACTTGGAGCATGAATGGCCATAGGATCTGTTTGAACAATGGAATAGACACACACTAAAGGCGCCCTCACAGTCACACTTCACACACATAAACAAGTACAATTTGTCATGGTGAGATGATCTTGAGGTCTGTCCAATCAACGTTGGTGAGAGGCCCCATACATCGAATAGCTGAGATCAGGTGGACACTATGACGTATAGCAAAAGATCCTATCCCGCCACACATACTATGTGGAAGTTTAAATAAACATGCTTGTGCAACAGCTAAAAATATACACAAAGACCCGCTCAAAATAGGAGTACTATATAGGAAAAGTTTCAAAATAAAACTAAGTATGTGTGCTATTTGAGAAATTTTGGTATCTTTTACTCCTCTTTAGGAAATTTTCTCTTTGATTTCTACGTAGTAACTAATAACCTTGTACCTCATGACCTGTGATTGTAGCTATGGCTTTTTCTGTGTAAGTTAAGTAGTTCAAATTAGTACAATAGTCTTTCCTTAATGTAGTCAGCCCAGTGGGAAATGCTGAAGCTCTGTTTGGAACAATCAACAACATCCAAGCCTTAACCCCAAAAGATTTTGGGGTTACCTCTGTTTGGAACATGGAAAGAAAATGAGGAAGATATAGATGAAATGTGGAAGAAAGGAAAATTTGGTGGGAAAAACATCCGTTCGAACTCAACAAACTAATGATATTTGTTCAAAGTAATTAATGTGTATATATATATATATATATATATATATATATATATATATATATTTCTATTGTATATAGACTAAGAAACCTGAATAATCTGTAAATCAAAAAAATCAAATGATGTTTTCATTGAACATTCCGAGTTAAAACTAAACATAAAGAAACATTTTCTGCAGCACCCTACCATTTTCCAGGCTGCAAACATAGCTCTAGTATAGATATATGCTTCTGTATATTGAAAACAAGATGGATAATTGCATTTATTTTCTTTGTCAAGTTAATTATTGTTGGATCTTGTCAAACAATATGATATTTGTTGTCATTCTTTCTTATATTTATATATTATATTAGCTATCGTTCTTTCTAGCACCCCCACGATGGACTTGTGACCTCATAATGGATTTTCATTGTACAGAATACACCTTAACATGTTTAATGATGGATCTCACCTTCCACTGCATTCATAAACATATCTGCAGGACCAACAACAGAAGCAATTTGAACTTATTCTTGCAATTGGGAAAATTAGCAAGTCAAGGGATGATGACATGAAAGGACCCTGCCAAGATCATAGCCAAAGTCAAGATGCACCACCTAACACAACGAATTCAGCTGTCGAGGAAGTTCCCGATATGATACTGAACTAAAATGCAAAGTTTGAGTGGGAAGAATGAATCTAGAAATAGGGAGGGGGCTCTTGATTCTAAGAGGCAGAGATGACAAAAGTTGATAGGTGTGCTTTGGTAAAGGTTGAAGCCAAGTAATAATCCTTTGAAGCCAATTTGAAGTCATTGGATTTGGCATATGAAGATTGACCCAATTTGTGAGTTGAAGAGGGACAGATGGAAATAAACCGGAAAGGAAAACTGAAAGAAAGCACTGATTTTAGTTTTGGATATATGGATAGATTACACTATATTTTTGTTATTATTGTGGGAAGCATTTATTGTTATATTTTCTAGAGTTGACAGTTTCAGAAGAAATGAGGAAGACTTTCTCATTTGTGTGTTCTCCAGTGTCCATATTTTGCTCTCCGTGTCTTGATATTTTTTTCATTAAAATGAAAAGAGCTTTTCGATTATGTCAGTTGAGGTTGCGAGAGCAGGGCATATAGCGTGAAACTTTGCCTATACTTTATCCTCACAAATTTATAGAGCTTGTTAATTTATAGGAAAATGATCAAATTGATTCTTCTATTATTTCCCATCTATCATTGAAATATTTAAAAACCGATCGCCTTTAAATATCCGGGGATAAGTTGGGCGATGGGTGTATCGGTTTTCGGTTTAGTTTTTACCAGTTTGAGTTTGGTACAGTTCAGTTCGGTCAAATCAAACCTATATGCCCACCACTCCTAGTATAAATATTGCATTTTCCATCTTATTTGATAATTGATATCTTTCACAAAATATCAAATTCAGTCTCTTTTCTCGTATCACCTCACGGCTCACCATGTACTAGTCTCTTTTCAGTTTTACCAAATTTGCACCTTCCTACAAGGCTTCAAATAATATCGTGTTCTTATTATCTAGTTTAAATTCATCCACACCCGTTTGTGAGTGTCAAAATGTGTGGGATAATAGATAATAATTGGAAAAAGTTTTTCCAATGAAATTTCAAATTGCCAGTTACCAATAAAATATGATTTCAATAGAAGTGTTTATAACCATTTTGTTTAGACGAAGTATCATGCGGTTTGATAACGCTGTTGCTCTCCTTCTAAAATGAAAACTGCATGCTCCAATCTCAAATGTATAATCAATGTTGGCATGATCATTGAACAATATTATAATAGGTTGAAGTGTTGTTAGAAAACTACTCCGTATTTGTTTAGCTATCATGATCTTATTATTATGAGTATTTTATCCTTTACAAAATCAAGCATTCCAACCTAGCTGGTTGTGAGATTACCGTGCTTAGTGGGAGGCCTCGAGTTTGAAACCCGCTAGGTACATAAGGGTTCGAAACTCAATGGAGTGAGTTTCAGCCCAGATTACTCCAGGCCCCCTAGCCCCCCTCCCCCAGACCCCCTGGAGTAATAAAAAAACAAATTATATATTGTGCCTCAATTCTTCCGATTTTTCAATTCGTCTGTTCTCGTGTGTTCCCGTGCTCTTGATGCGTTTGGAAGGCATTGCAAGAACCTCACTGTACTATCCTTCATAGGACAATGAACCCTCTGGAGGTCATTGACAAGGTCTGCCAAGACGATGAAGCCTTAACCATTGCTGCCACCATGCCAAAGCTCAAACAGCTTGAGATTCCTTACATGCTGGTGAGCACAAAGACCACACTTGAAATCATCAAGAGTTGCAGCCAGCTTGAGTTGTTGGATATTAAGGGTTGTCGAAATGTTAGCCTCGATGAGTACTTCTCGAAGAAGTTTCTGGGGGTTAAGGTGGTGGGACCCACTATCGGGGCCTCGGGGGATTGCTATGACATGAATGGATGGGAAAACACATATACCTATACACGTTTACCAATGCACATATACCCACATACCTCATGCTCATCATATTCGGAGGAAAGCGTCATACATAAGATCCCTATCATCAATGACACCTTCCAACGTTAAAGTGACATCATTTTTGCTTCTCTAGCTTCAGAAGTCATTTCCAGTATCATTAATTGTCATTTGCAAAGATATTTAAGAGACACCAACGACACACATGTAAAATGAAGATCCTCGAATGGGAATTGTAGTAGGCAAAAATCCTTGAAAAAATCTGTACTGACAAGTGTCTGCAATGATCTTCTGTTTCTATGTCAGTATTAAAAGTGTCTAGCTTGCCTTTTGGTGTCCTAATATATGTAGTTGATCTTATTTACATTATTAAATAACTCTATCTTCGAGTGTTTCTTAGGAAACCATTTTAACTTATCATACACTGATACACTACAGTTGATCGTATCGCCGTGTAGTGATTACATATGTCCTAATATATGTAGTTGATCTTATTTACATTATTAAATAACTCTATCTTCGAGTGTTTCTTAGGAAACCATTTTACCTTATCATACACTGATACACTACAGTTGATCGTATCGTCGTATTGTGATTATTAGATTTTGCATATGTTTTTAGACTCTACGCTTTAAAATTGACCTTCTGGTTTTATTTAAGTCTTGATATTTTCTGGTCTGAATTGGTTGACTCACATGGTAGGTATCATCTGTTTTATGTGTATTTTACTCTTGTGTAACTCTGGTCTTGTATTGTCCGATTTGGTTTGTTCCCACTTAAAAGTTAATAATAATCAGGAATCCTTGTGTATTTTGGCAACTCTTATTTATTATAAATATACCTGTCAGGGCTCCTATTAGAGTTACCCTTTCCCATTATTTCACATGGTATCAACAGTCCAGACCTAATTTCCCCCCACTCTCTGTCTCTTCACGCTTACCGCCGCCATGAGTTCTTCTTCGGAAAAGTTGACCGCCGCAGTCATGACTTCCTCGGCCATGAGCTCGGCTGCCGCTACAGCCTCTTCTTCCATGGCGCCAACAATCTCTTCCCTTCCTACCAGGACGATGGACCAGCCAGGCTTCTCCGCGCAGATCTCTACGGCTGGAATCCCTAATGCAAACGGTTCGCCGGTCATGACGCCAACATCATCAACGTTGTTTACCAATTTTCCTCCTCTACCTAATTTCTCTGCGACTGGACAAATTCCCTTGTTTCAGTCCTTGCCGCAGCAATTCCCTTGGCAGCAGCCCCTGGTCTAGCGGCAGACGAGCTTCTTTACTCCGCCGCCACCGCCGGTTCAGTCTCAAGTGCCCCTCTCCGGCCAGCATCAGGCAGCACCTTCATTCTTCGGCTCCACCTTTTACGGCTCCCAGGCGTGGTTCGGCCGATTGATCAATCAGGCTTTGGTTCTCCGATGTCGGCCCTTGCTCAGTCCGTGTAGCATATCACTACTGTCTCTCAAATTGTCACCATTAAATTGAAGGCAGTCGAGGATTATCTCACCTCAGTTCGAATCCTTCCTGGTCTCTCAAGGCCTGTTTGGAATTGTTGATGGCTCCATTCAGGTACCCCCGATGTATAATGTTGATTTTCTTAATCGTCAAGTTCCAAACACATAATATTATCATTGGCTCCGAGTAGATCAAACAATTCGTTGTTGGTTGTTTGCTACTCTAACTCGGGATGTGTTAGTTGATGTTCATGATCTGAAACATTCAGCTGCTATATGGGCTAGACTTCAGACTAGATTTATGTCTGCATGTTTACCCCGATGCATGGAACTTAAATGATTATAGTCAAACACAAAGAAGATAGAAACTCAATATGTGGAAATTTATTTGAGGGAAATCAAGAATTTAGTGGATGCCCTTGCGGCAATTAATTCTCCTATATCGGATAAAGAGCTTCTTCAATCTGTTCTGGCTGGCTTGGGACCAGAGTATCGACCTCTTGTCACTACGGTCTCTTTATTTCCCGAGAATTTTCCCTTTGTCATTTTGCAACCCCGTCTCCTAGAAGAAGAGCAACACGTCCTTTGTGAGCGTTAACAGCAGACTGCCGCTGGTCATCAGGCATTTGTGGCCGCTATAGCAGGAGGTCACCAACAGACTGGTTATGTTATTCGTGGCAAGGGAGGCCGTGGCAGAGGCCACCAGCAGCAGCCGAACGGCTACCAGCACCAGGTTGTGCCGTTCTTCGGTGCACATTAGCCGACGGGTGTTCAGCCACCATACTACAGTGATCAGGCAGGCTCCGGGTCTGGCCAGCCGGGGCTCAGTCAACTGGGGTTCGGTCAGTCTGCGTTTGGTCAGCAACAGGTATCTATTCAGGGGGTGCATTCTTCTCGCCCGAGCACTTCAGGTTTCTCACCAGCGAGGGAATCTTTGGATCTGTTCCACTGCCTGTTGTCAACTTTGTTTCTCTGCAGGTCACTCTGCACTTCAGTGTCCATCTCGTTATATGATGCCCTTGCGGCAATTAATTCTCCTGTCTCGGATAAAGAGCTTCTTCAATCTGTTCTGGCTGGCTTGGGATCGGAGTATCGATCTCTTGTCACTACTGTCTCTTTATTTCATGAGAAATTTCCCTTTGACATTTTGCAACCCCGTCTCCTGGAAGAAGAGCAACGCGTCCTTTATGATCGTTAACACCAGACTGCCGCTGGTCATCAGGCATTTGTGGCCGCTACAGCAGGAGGTCACCAACAGGCTGGCTATGCTATTCGTGGCAGGGGAGGTCGCGGCAGAGGCCACCACCAGCAGCCGAACGACTACCCGCACCAGGTTGTGTCGTTCTTCGGTGCACAGCAGCCGGCGGGTGTTCAACCACCATACGACAGTGATCAGGCAGGCTCCAGGCCCGACCAGTAGGGGCTCGGTCAACTAGGGCTCGGTCAGTTTGCGTTTGGTCAGCAACATGTATCTATTCAAGGGGTGCATTCTTCTCACCCGAACACTTCAGGTTTCTCATCGAGTGAGGGAATCCTTGGATCTGTTCCACCGCCTGTTGTCTGTCAACTTTGTTTCTCTGCAGGTCACTCTGCACTTCAGTGTTCATCTTGTTATAGTCAGCCGTTTGCGCCAGCTCTTGTAACTTCCAATGGTGACTCAAACACTGCTTTATGGTACCCTGACTCTGGGCCTTCGGCTAGCATGACTCCCACGGAAGGTATTTTAGTTAACAAATCAATTTATACTGGACCACTTTATGTTAGTGTTGCTAATGGCTCTAAACTTCCCATTGCTAATATTGGAGATGTTCATTTAAATTCTTCCAGTTGCCCTCTCACGTTAAAATTTGTCTTTCACATGCCTCACATTAAATTTAATTTATTATCTATACAAAAACTTTGTGTTGATAACAACTGTGTCGTAATTTTTGATAAAAATTCCTCTTGTTAAGGACAAAACTTCGGGGAAGGTCCTTATTCAAGCTCCTAGTCATGGTCATCTCTATCCAGTCAGCCTCAGCCCTCAGCTACCACTTGATTTGTCTTCTCTCACTTCGTCTGGCCCGATTTGACATCGTATATTAGGCCATTGTGGCACCTCTATTTTACGTATTTTACATAGTTAGCACCATATATGTAGTAGTTCTAGTTTTTCTCATGACTGTATTTCTTGCCACTTAGGCAAATCTCAACTTTTACCGTTTACGCGATGCTAGTCATAATTCTACTGTGCCCTTGCAATTAATTCATTCTGATGTTTGGCAATCTCCCATTTTATCTAATTTGGGTTTTAAATATTATGTGTGTTTTATTA